ATTCACAAGATTGAATACAGCTATGTTGACTATAAAGTCTTGACAGTAAAAGCAATATATATATATAACAGGTAGGGCGTATTATTCGTCACAAACAGCAAGCAACCAATCTATTGCGCCCCTTTTGTGGGTGTCAGTATTTAATTTATAAAGCTTTTAGCTAGCGGAGAAGTAAGAGCTCAGTTCTGGCCTGTCGAATTGATAGTTCAATTTACATTTTCACATTCGCTTATGTTTTCGTAGGTATTTCTCTCACCAACTGGACTGTGCTGATCTCGGCAGTTGTTCTAGGCGATTCCTGCTCACTTAACTGACAAATCATCTTACAAAAAGTTGTTTTTACAATAAGACGGATTTCTCGAAATCTCCAGCAATAAACGAGAATGTTTACAGAAGAATTGAGATAGATTAAAAATATCGTGATGTAAAAAGCGATAATAAATGCCATACTAGACGTAAAAACATTCAATAAAATCCCGCAAAACACATTTGGTATATAGCAAGCAAGAAATAATGCATACACGAAAAATGCGTTATACGCTGATCGCTTAACTCGAGCAGTGTTTAGCGTCTCCACATCAATCGCAACTTGTCTTTGGCAGTGAATTTTATTTTGATGATATCGTGCTATTCTGTAGATCTTAAAATAAGCTGCAGTCGTTACCGAAATCCCCAGCAGTTCAAGCACAACGGCCACTATATCGTTGTAATTCGGAAGCGCAATATAGACCACTGTGACTAGGAAACTTGTTAACCACATAATTCCAATGACAGCCTCGACGCGTTTGCATGTTACTAATTCATGATATCTCAGATGAAAGGATAACGCGAGAAGACGGTCCACAGCAGTAAAAACAATGGATAAAAAAGATGCTACTGAGAATAAATAGGCGGACGATAAATAGATGGTGACTATCGTCGGACAAAGGGAAGCCTGAAAGTTGTAGCTTCGGCTTTCCACGTTGTTTAGTATCACAGCAATGATAGCGCCATGCATTGGTTGAACAGACAGTCCCACGGCAAGATCCGATACAGCAAGACTTAAAAACAATCTTTTTAAACTCTCAGGTACCGAGGAAGCTTTCCACAAAGCAGTAATAACAAGTACATTTCCAAAAATCGCCACGATGCAAAATAAGAAATTGAGAGCACATAGTGAAACCATGAATGCTCCGTGAAATTCGGCTAATTTTATAAGTTCTTCTAGTCTTTTGTTGCATATCTGGATTTTCATATTCTGAGTCAGAGGGTTTTATCAGGTGTGCAGAGCGCCAGAAAAATTCAAAAAATAAAAACTTAGCATTGAAACATAATTATTAGTCTACTTGCTAAAAACATGCCGAAGAGAAGGTACTTATAATTATTCTGTACACGTCTTTTAATTTTGAGCCTTATTTACTTAAGAAGAAAAATGCTATTTGCAAAATAAAAGAAATTGGGTTAAAAAACTGCATTTGTAATGAAAAGAAAATTCGCCTTCCTTTTATGCGTCGTTATGTTTTTGCAAGCAAGTGACGAGTCTGACAACAACATTACGAAGCAGAAATAAAGATTAAAATTGAATTAAAAATGTTTACGTAGAGGCAGTTGTAAAGAAAATGGCAATAATGTACGAATGTTTTGTTAGTATTCGCTCGTATAATGCCTTGACACTTCCAGCTCTGCGTAACGAATTTATACACAAAGGAACTACAACAACTGAATGCGCTCAATCGTATATGAAGCAGATGGTGTGATTGAATATTCTGGAAGGGTTAAGTATAGTACATCCTCAGCTGTCCTTGAGCGGTTGTCTTTCGGCACACAAGAGAGATTTTCCATTCTGTTGTGATCAGTTTAGACAGGTTTAGAACTGGGTAGGTTAAATGGATATGCATGTTAAACAAATTGGAAAACACAGCTGTATTCACCAACTACCGTACGTCAAAATATTCGTCTAATTTAATTTTGAAAAATAAAATTTAATATAAATTGCTCATTATAGCCCTTTAGCACTGACCGGCGCAGGAAACGAGAACGAGGAGTCTAAAAAAACTGAATGAACTGTTTTTTTTTAACAGGATCTGAGCCCCTTGGGTCTATTAACTCATATTGACTTGCCTTAAAAAAGCCGCCTGAAGGGCATCAGATTTTCTTAAACAGAATCCCTTAAAAGTGAAATGACACTTGTCTTAAATGAAAACGGCTCCGTACTAAGGAAGGATATAGTCTTGCTGAGATGCACAAAAAAAAAACAAAACAAAACAAAACCAAAAATAGTAACTAACGAAAACACTAACATTTCCTCTTAGGAAATTAAAGCTTCTTGCACTTTGTTCTTCGTACAGTACGTATGGAACTGACGAGGGAGATTTTTAGCTATTTTTTGAACCCTTTCCTTATCCTATTAAGCAGTGATGGACGAATTTAGTTGCAATCGCCTTATGCTTACATCTAGAGAGAGCTATGCTTGCCTCCGGCGAGTGGGTCTGGACGTTTTAAGCTAAATACCGTAAAATTCTGAAAATAAGCCCCTCCATCTATAAACCCCTCCAAATATAAGCCCCCCAAACCGGTAACGTAAAAAACCCTCCGTCAAATCGCCCCTGCAAATTTAAGCCCCTGGGGGCTTGTAATTGGAAAATTGCCCTCAAATACAAAGTAAAACAAAGCAAAAACTACTTCCAACTATAAGGCTATCCCAATCGATTTTGAGACGCAGATATGAGCCCCTCCAAAAATAAGCCCCTCAAAAAGGGCCTTTGAAAAATATAAGTCCTGGGGCTTATTTTCGGAATTTTACGGTAGCCGCAAAATAGCCATAAATTGTTTTGTAAAACGCACTTTAATATTTAAACTCTTGCGTCATAATTCTTAAGGATAAACCAAAAGAAATATGGCACAAGAAACAAAATTAGAAAATTAGTCAAATGCTTGGGAAGCTTACAATTGTAGCTCCCTAGGACACCTTCCCTCATGCCATGATAGCCGCTGATAATGTCTCCGTGAAAACGTAACCTGTGTGTATAAAAATTGACATCATTGGCAATGACAGAGTAGCCAGTAGCAGCAGCATGAGGTCGATTTGTTTGTTGACCGTGTTTATTCGAATAAGCGCCCAACCTCGAATTAGCGCCCACCTCGAATAAGCGCCCATTCTAAAGGCAGGAAAAGTTAATAAGCGCCCAGCCTCTAATAAGCTCTCATCCCACCCCCTCCCCCTCCTTACTAAACCCCTGAGCGCCCACCCTCACTTCACCCACTTGAGTGACAATGAGATTGAATTTCAAATTGAATAAAGTACTAATAAGAGACTTCCCCTAAGACGGAGTTTTCTTCAGAGTATTTTACTGAAATCTTGCTTTGTTACTTCTTCGCGTTTTGTTATTAGCATTTACTGTTTTGTTGAAAAATAAGCATACTACACTTGCTGAAAATGGTGAAAATTTAATAAACGCCCAGTCCCGAATAAGGGCCCACCTCAAATAAGCGCCCACTCTCAAGGTCCAAAAATTTAATAACCGTCCAGGGTGGTTAATCGAATAAATACCGCCGGCTGTAATTTTCTGTTTAGCTTACTTAATTAAAACTATCTATTTCGACTGACTGGTCATAACATTAAGACTAATGCAAAAGGAATTGGTTTTGAAGACTTCCAAAAATGTCAACAACAAAAAAATGAATAAAAAAGTCAGTTGGTGGTATCGACCCTGTAAGCTGGGTTATATTCTGCGAGTAGAGGTTTCTGTCTTGCATGGCTTTTAGTGTTTACGAAGTCGTGCGCGTGACTACGCGACTGACAAGCCACCCGAACGACTTTCGTAAACGCTAAAAGCCATGCAAGAGGTAGGTCGGTTATCTTTCAATCTTTTTGTTTACACATAGCATGCAAACACGTTACCGGCCCGCAATCAATATATTTTCTTCTCAGGTACCCTCACTTTTCAAGGGCAAAATTAATATTACGATATTTCGAGTAGAAAGAATGACTCAGTAAAACGGGTACCTTTTTAAGAACTGGTCTCGATAGTAGTGAAGAATGACGTTGTTTCTATGGTTAATTAACAAACTTAAAGAAAAGTTGGATCGGGAAGAAATTTATAAGCTCATTAACGCAACTCCTTCAATGAATATCTAAGATATTGAGTGGGTTGAGGACAGTATTTCGTTGTTTTTGAGAGTATTTTGAAGTAACCCAAATTTGCATAAGTTTTATCAGGCATTCTTCGGCGTACGTGCAGTGGACGCCCTCTCTATTTTTTACTACTTATTAAAGAACACTCTCCGGAATTACGATCTAATCGCAGAAAACAGATCCCTAAAAAAAATCTTCGGACAATAATAGAAGTTTAAAATCTAGGTTTGGTGTCTAGACTATAAAGGTAAGTGATAGTGGCTGTCTTAAAATTTAGCAAATATTGTTTTCGTCAACGCTATTTTATCTCGCTTTAATTTTCCGTAGTAGTGTAAATCACGTTCTTCGAAGCATAATTTGAAGAGTGATTCCCCTTAAAGAACTGATTTTGGACAACACTAAAAGAACGGGTTGGGGCATTAATGAAGAGCGAGTATATTAAAGCGAAGTTTAATCATGATCAGTACATATTTCACTGCTGAGGTTATCTCTGATGGTCGCTAATAACTATTATCAAGCAACAAGCGCACGTTATTAATAATATGACATAAAATATCCATCTGAATAGAAAGAGGAAAAGGCTTTCCACGACAATACAAAATGACGTAAAAAGTACACATCTTTGGATTACAGCCCGAAGCTACGTCCTTTAATAAAATTCGAAACGTGAACCTAATTCACTCAGTGTGTTGAAGCTTCTCAATTTAGACAAACAGCTCATGTCTTCAAAAAGCTTACGGACCAATTATGAGCAGGTTTTTAATTACTTGGTACTAAGAAACTCAACACTCAGAATTGCCTTCAACTTACACATTTTGCTTTGTTTGCTTTTGTCCACCTGTTTTTGATCACAAAAATAAGGTTCCGTTAGTGAATCATACTGACTATGGGAGCACTGTTCTGCAATCAGAAGTTGGAGGAATATCATGTTCTATTGCATCGACACAGACCTGTCTTGCTGGCGTTTTGTGTTTTGAACTTAGGATTTGCAGTCCTAGCAACCGTGGAAAATGTCCTCGTCATTCACGCTCTCCGGAGTTCTTCAACGTTACCTGGTAACTTAAAGAAGATGTTTCTAAGTCTCGCCTTCTCTGACTTTGCTGTGGGATTGCTGGGGCAGTCGATGTTGGGAATTATTACAGCGATTATGTTGAAAACGACAGCGAATGGAAACTATGACCTCGATTTCTTATGCCCAACTTTGATAACTGTCTGTTATTCTGTGATATATTTTC